GATTTAAAAGACATTAAATGTCCTCTCTGCATCTTCCTTTCAGCCGACGTGGGCGGCTTCTTCAAAAACCCCGAGCCGGAGTTGCTGGTGCGCTGGTATCAAGCGGGAGCCTATCAGCCTTTCTTCCGGGTGCACGCCCACGTGGACACCACCCGCCGGGAACCCTGGCTTTTCGGCGAGGAGAACAAAGCCCTGATCCGGGAGGCCATTCGGGAGCGCTACGCCCTGCTCCCCTTTTGGTACACCCTTTTCTATCAATCTTACCGGACCGGCCAGCCCGTCATGAGGTGAGTGGAATAGGGGCTAGAAATACGGAGAAAGAGATGCGCCCTGATTCAGGTCACCCCTTGCCCTGAACCAAAATCTGACTTGCTTGTCCTTGGGGGGGTTGAGGTTTACAAACCAGAGTTCAAGAGTTGGGTCATTTCAAGTTTTGGAGGCTAATTCGGTTAAGGAAATCATGGCTTGGTTTGCAGCGTGAACCTGATCTATGTGTTTTTATTGTCATGTTAAATAATTATAATTTATTAAAGAATATTATTTATTTCTGTCTTAACTTGGTCGCGAGCCGCCCAGAGTCGCTTGTAAAAAGTGCAATGGGTGGCTATGTAAGTTGGATAAATAAATGATAAATAAATGAACATACGCATAATTTCCATCCGGATTGGCAAAGTCCGTGGCTTAGAACCTGGTTTTGAGTTTCTAAATAATCGTTTTGAGTTGCTTTTCGCGCTCCCTTTCACAGACGGCTCAGCGTTCTTGTCCGTTAGCCTAGCCAAAGGCAGTTTGTTAATTTGTAAATTGCACCAAGCCATGATTAGGGATGTTTAACTCGCTGGATTTGGTGTCACACAGAAGTGGCTGGCAAGCTACAACTGTGATGTGGCCGACACATTAAGGTATACTTTACCCATGATTCGCAGAATAACCACAATCACCTAGGTTCGCTCAACATATCTAAGGCACAGTTTTATGCTTTTGGCTCATTTTATTTTTAAACTATTTTTAACTGTTTTTATTTTATGTATAACAGTTTGTTTGTTGTGTTTTTTAACTTGTGAACTACCCCAAGTTACGTCGGTGAGATGGACAGCTATATAAATGGAAATAAATAAGGAAATAGGTCAGTCCTGGTTTGCAGATCACACTGGGTGGGTTCATACAACACCCAAAGTGACAAACAAGCTTATTTTTTAAAATAATAACTTTATTAAAGCTACAAACAAACCTAGAGGGCTGCATGAAGCCGGCCTATGGTATGACGGGGGAAGGAACCGTGGCTCAACGTTGGGTTTGAACTGACAAATTATCTTCTTGCCTACTTGCTTCATCGTTCCAGACCCTCTGCCCCACAGAAAGGGGACCACTGAGCAGGTGAAAACAAAAATACAGTGGAACCTCAGTTTATGAACTTAATTCTTTCCATGACTCTGGTCGCAGCCCGAATTGGTCGCAACCCGAAGGAAATTT